ACTCTTAACAAAATATGATTAGTGCTGTATGAGAATTTGCTACAAATTTATGATTTCCTAATGATTTTTTCCACAAGTCTCTTAGCTTCTCTCTTGGCAGCAATGTTTCTCCATCTTGGACATACCCACTGTCTTGCAGGAGACTCTAACTCACAGTGACCTTTGAAACTCTAATAGTTTCTGAGGCTGGGAGACTTTATAGGAGGAGACTGCCCACCTTTCTTTTTTAGAATAGTTGGTGGGTTCAAACAAGTGACTTGTTGTGTTATAATAGAACAACATGTAACATACTATGCCACCAGACTACATCCCTCTCGGTCATCTGAAAAAAACACAAAAAAAACCTCCCAAACTTTTCATTTCTATTCCTTTTAGTAACAGTCTCTGACCACATAAACCCATCCTAACCTTACCTAAAAGCACTCATATATCACATACTTTAGTATTTAAATATTTTTTTTTTCTTCAGCAGTTCTGAGGTAAATGGCCATGAGTTCTATTTCCTTTTGAACTCTTTGTTATACCACCACAAGTTTATTACCACTTAAGGTACATTACCAATGATACAAGTTAAGATAGATGTATTCCACAACCAAATAGCTTTACATAATGAAGGTATTTTAAGTGAATAATTTAAATATATATTTATTTGACTTCTATTAATGGATGTCCTACCTTTACCATTCCACATCTCTCTCCCACCCTAGCTTTTTTCTTGCCTTGTTTTTTTCTTCTTCATACTCTTACCAAATTCCTCCTCATCTCTTGTCAAATTGAGCTGTTGTCATTTCCTGAACAAGTCAAATGCTTCCACATCTCCGTTTCTCCAGGACAAGACATTTCCTATATCCCTGTCTTAGGGAGCTCTTTCTTTATAATCCAGCACCTCAGTCCTTTGATGCTTTTCCCTAAGACTTCAAGGATGGTGCTTTCTTCCCTCAGCACAGATCTATTTAGCACATAAACTGATATTTTACCATGAGTCTTTGATGTCCTATCTTTTCCATAGCACTGAACTTCTATAAGAAACTGAATTTCACTCAGTTCTCTGTCCATGGAATCTCGTACAGTACTTAATACATAGAAAGTATTTAACAAAAGATAGATATCAATCTATATATCTAAGAAGTATATTTTTTTAAAAACCGCATAATTTCATTTACAGAATTTATACAGTAAGAAGGGCTTGCTTACTTTTAAGAAATGAGTACATACTACAAAATATTGCCAGTTCTACATGAGGTCACTATGAGTTAGAGTTGACACAAAGACAAATAGAAACAATATTTTTTTAAACTTTAATTATAAATCCTTTGGAAATCAATGATATTTTAAATTAAAAGCTAGGATGAAATTATTGCTAACTGCAATAAGTAAAATTAGCAAGTATTATAATTTCACAACTTCAGATGCGAATAAAGTTTGTTTAAGGGAAAGTACCTCCTAACTATCTATTTGTTTTTTTCTTATTTGTAAAGGTGCAGTATTGTGACAATGAAGTGGCTGGTAAAAGTCAAGACTCAAGCCTTTACCATATTGCAGAAGAAATCCCTCAAGTAAATGCTGAAGTAAAGGCAAATCTCCTGTATTTGAAATCTGCCATATTCAGGGTAACAAAACTTGTCTGCCTTTTTTGACTGATGAAGATTAGCTGACTTCTTGCATTAAAGAAGTTTGTCTTCCATACACTGGAGTGACAAGACAATAACTAAATGCTAATTGTGCATAACCAGCACTAAAGTATATGCAGTCCCATTATGGCATGTAATAAATGAAGCAGACACAGAAATATATTGGGTACTTTAATAATGATACTAGAACAGTATTTTGCAGCAATAAGAATGTGAACAGTTTTAGAGTCAAAATTTAGGAGTGTTTGTCTTACTTGACTGAGTTCTACTGAAGAGAGACTTAATTGTGAATGCAACTTTTTATTTCAATGGTGAAATAAAATTGATGTATGATTTGTAAATAGCATTAACAACCTACAATTTTGCATAATAATCAAATTTAAGTTGGACTTAGAACTTGAGTGATGTTTAAGTTTTCTGTATAGAACATAGATAATATAAATAAGCTTTTTTCAAAAGAAAAATGGGACAAACAGTATAAGCAGGCAAATTTCAAAAAGAATAACTTTGTAAATAATCAGATATATGATGATTAAAAATTAGTGATCTACCTTTCCAGTAACAAACTGACAAATATTTCTTTCTAAATAACATTCTCAAATGTTAGAATGTAAGGAAGTTCATAATTCTTCATGTTACCTGTTTGACAAATTTTCTGGAAAATATTTTGGTACAACATATAAATCCTCAAAATATTAAGTAATATTTCCAATTAATTATATACCTCTGAATAAACTGAACATAGATTTAAGTGTTTATTTATGGACCTTACATTACATTGATATTATAAAATTAAAAACAAATCACACCTGAAGCTAGAAGATTAAGTGATGCCTAATCTATGAAACAGAACACAGGAAACCTTAAAACAGTATAAAAATTTGTTTAATGGAAATTAAAAATGCACAGACTACATAATTAATGAAGAAAGTCCAATCATTAAACATTGGATTGTACACTGTTGCTTATAAAAAGCTGCTGAAGTAAGTATATAATGGGAAATATATACTATAATGTGTCATATATATGCATGGGAAAAGAGACAGCGAGATACTAAAATATTTTCTTTTAGAATAAGAAAAAATTAGGTAATATTTTTTGTGTTTTTCTATTTTTAAGGGTGTTTTACTATAAATAAGAGACCTTTTAGAAGTAGAAGAGTAGTAATTTTTTTGTGTCATTAAATTATTTTACTTATTAGTGGATCAATGTGACAAATAAACATTAATACTCTAAATTTACTACTCATGCAACTTTAAAACACACATGTTACTGTTATATGCCATCAAATTGGAACTGACCCATAAATCACATGAGTGCCTATTTTTCTCCCTTGGAACAACTGGTAGATTCAAACCCATGACTTTGAGTAGGTAGCTATGCTACAAAACCAAAGGCACACAGTTCAAATCCACCATTTGCTTTGCAGGGGAAGGATAGGCAATCTCCTCCATGAAATGAACTTCCTCTGAAGAGCTGTTGAGTGTCAGCTATGGGACAGTTCTGACTTGACAGTCCATAGCTGGTGACCTATTGATAAGGGGGGTTGTGCTATCAACCCAAGGCAAGGAGTTTGATTTCACCAGCTGCTTCATGGGAGAAAGATTGACAATCTCTCCCATTTGACAGTCTCTGAAAACCCACTGGAGGGTCAGCTAAGGATTCATTCTAACTTTTTTTTTTTATTTAGGTTGTTTATTTTTCATTTCAATGAACATCTACAGAGATTTTGGAATTCCATTCATTCATTGTTGCACCCTTCTCCCCGCACAAACCCCTCCCCCCTCCCCCCCATTTGCTCCTCTCCTTGAAAAGCAAAAGAAAAACTCCCTCATTGGTACACAATCCCCCACACACATCCCCCAATCCCCAAATATAAGCCACTCTGCAACCCTCGTTCCGTACTCTTACGATAAACATAATGCCCTAAAATAGAAAATATTCTCTCCCCCAAAGACTTCAGTGCCGTAAACATATTTCATCTAATTTAATAGCACATAACAATAACAACAACATACATATTTTCAATTCTAGCATTCTTTACTTCCATTTCTCACAAAATTAAAGCCAGAAATATCTAATTGTGAATGAATATAAAAGTTATACATTCCAGTAAGGAAAACTAGGAACAACTTGAAATTCTTTTGAACTGAAAGAGTTTTCTGAAATATACTAATCCAAATCCCTATGTTACAGAGAAGAAAATCAAGTTCTAGAGAAGGGAATTGCTTATTTCCAAGTCACACAGTTTACAAGAGATAAAGTGATAAAGAATATAGGTTTGCAGATTCCCTGTCTACTCTCCACTGCCACCTCTCTGATGCACTTGTTACTGTTGTGTAACACAGAGGCACAGTTGACCCATATTTGAACCTCCACTGGGTTTGCAGTTAATCACATGGGAGGAGATTGCCCATCCTTCTTCTGTGTGGCCGCTAGTGGATTCAAACAATGTGCCTTCAGGATTGCAGCACAGTTTTTTACCAGTAGGCCACCAGAGCTCCCCAATGCAGAGAATTCTAATACCAAGTCTTGCTCCAAAAGACATTTGAAACAACTTAAAAAATACATGTAGAACAAGGTTAAAATTCAAGATAAGAAATCAAGCAATAAGCTCAATTCTCAAATTCATTGACCTTGATTTAAGTCAATTCATGGTTGACAATTTAGCAAATTTTCCAAGGCTGAAAAAATCACACAGAAGGAGACAGTCCATCTTTATCCCACAGAAATTCTGAATTTCAACTGGCTGTCTTTAGGTCAACAATGGACTACACTATCAAGAGATCAAGCAAGTATAAATATGAAAACAAAATGAAAAAACACATGCCCTAGATCTTTGCGTATTTTCTATCTTGCAAATTTGCTTGCTCGGAATAGCACAAAAAAAAGCAAAGTTATTACAAACTTGTGAAAAGTAATAGCTAAACCAACAGTGGGTTTTCAGAGGCTGTAAATTGCACAGGAAGAGACTGTCCATTTTTCTCCGTTGAAGCAGCTGGTGGAATCAAGGCAACCACCTTTCAGCTGACAACGCAACTCTCTACCCACTAAGCCACCAGCGGTCCTTAATCAATGAAGGAAAGGAGGAGTAGAAAGGTGATTAAAATCCAACCGAAAAGTTTTCACGGTTTATCAATTGTTGGTATAGAATGTGTTTTTTTCTCTCAGGCAAAAGTCTATTCTTAAGATCTTTTTTTTTTTCTTTTTTTTCCCCGTGGTTTGCTTCTGGCGTTGAAGGAATGTTTGCAGAAAACAGAAATGCAGAGATTAATTGCTTTAAGTGCACTAATATAGTTTCCACCTATTAAATAGTCAGCAAAGAGAGGCTGCCTTTTTTTTTTACAAACCAAAATAAAATCTACTCAC